CACCAACAACAGCCTGCCCTCCCCCACCCCACCACACCAACAACAGCCTCCCCCCCTCCCCACCACACCAACAACAGCCTGCCCTCCCCACCACACCAACAACAGCCTGCCCTCCCCACCACACCAACAACAGCCTGCCCTCCCCACCACACCAACAACAGCCTGCCCTCCCCACCACACCAACAACAGCCTGCCCTCCCCACCACACCAACAACAGCCTGCCCTCCCCACCACACCAACAACAGCCCCCTCCCCACCACACCAACAACAGCCTCCCCCTCCCCACCACACCAACAACAGCCTCCCCCTCCCCACCACACCACAACAGCCTGCCCTCCCCACCACACCAACAACAGCCCCTCCCCACCACACCAACAACAGCCTGCCCTCCCCCTCCCCACCACACCAACAACAGCCTCCCCCTCCCCACCACACCAACAACAGCCTGCCCTCCCCACCACACCAACAACAGCCTGCCCTCCCCACCACACCAACAACAGCCTGCCCTCCCCACCACACCAACAACAGCCTGCCCTCCCCACCACACCAACAACAGCCTGCCCTCCCCACCACACCAACAACAGCCTGCCCTCCCCACCACACCAACAACAGCCTGCCCTCCCCCTCCCCACCACACCAACAACAGCCCTCCCCCTCCCCACCACACCAACAACAGCCTGCCCCCCCTCCCCACCACACCAACAACAGCCTGCCCTCCCCACCACACCAACAACAGCCTGCCCTCCCCCTCCCCACCACACCAACAACAGCCTGCCCTCCCCCTCCCCACCACACCAACAACAGCCTGCCCTCCCCCTCCCCACCACACCAACAACAGCCTGCCCTCCCCCTCCCCACCACACCAACCAACCAACAACAGCCTCCCCCTCCCCCTCCCCACCACACCAACAACAGCCTGCCCTCCCCACCACCCAACAACAGCCTGCCCTCCCCACCACACCAACAACAGCCTGCCCTCCCCACCACACAACAGCCTGCCCTCCCCACCACACCAACAACAGCCTGCCCTCCCCACCACACCAACAACAGCCTGCCCTGCCCCACCACACCAACAACAGCCTCCCCCTCCCCCTCCCCACCACACCAACAACAGCCTGCCCTCCCCACCACACCAACAACAGCCTGCCCTCCCCACCACACCAACAACAGCCTGCCCTCCCCACCACACCAACAACAGCCTGCCCTCCCCCTCCCCACCACACCAACAACAGCCTGCCCCTCCCCCTCCCCCTCCCCACCACACCAACAACAGCCTGCCCTCCCCCTCCCCACCACACCAACAACAGCCTGCCCTCCCCCTCCCCACCACACCAACAACAGCCTGCCCTCCCCACCACACCAACAACAGCCTGCCCTTCCCACCACACCAACAACAGCCTGCCCTCCCCCACCACACCAACAACAGCCTGCCCTCCCCCTCCCCACCACACCAACAACAGCCTGCCCCCCCCCCTCCCCACCACACCAACAACAGCCTGCCCCTCCCCCTCCCCACCACACCAACAACAGCCTGCCCTCCCCCTCCCCACCACACCAACAACAGCCTCCCCTCCCCACCACACCAACAACAGCCTGCCCTCCCCACCACACCAACAACAGCCTGCCCTCCCCACCACACCAACAACAGCCTGCCCTCCCCACCACCATCTCCCACACACCCGCAGCCTCCTAGGTCGACTCCTCCCTGCTGGACTCCGCCCGTAGCGTGGGCGTGGGCGTGCCTGGCCACCAGGAGGGTGGTGAACTCTATTTAGGCGTTCTCTGTTCAGATGGCAGCCGGGGCGAGGTCACAGGCGACGACAGGTGTGTGGGCAGGTGTGTGGAGAGATGCGAGAGGTGGAGGGAGGTGTGGGCAGGTGTGGAGGTGTAGCAGGTAAAGATCAATTGATGGGGGAGGGGGGCGGAGGTTTATAGTGTAGGGTGATGTGGGGGAAGGGAAAGGGGAGGGGGGAGGGGCAAGTATAGGTGATCCAGCGACCTCCCCCAGGCCACACTAACGGCCTCCCCCAGGCCACACTAACGGCCTCCCCCAGGCCACACTAACGGCCTCCCCCAGGCCACACTAACGGCCTCCCCCAGGCCACACTAACGCCCTCCCCCAGGCCACACTAACGGCCTCCCCCAGGCCACACTAACGGCCTCCCCCAGGCCACACTAACGGCCTTTCCCTAGGCCACACTAACGGCCTCCCCCAGGCCACACTAACGGCCTCCCCCAGGCCACACTAACGGCACTAACGGCCTCCCCCAGGCCACACTAACGGCCTCCCCAAGGCCACACTAACGGCCTCCCCCAGGCCACACTAACGCCCTCCCCCAGGCCACACTAACGGCCTCCCCCAGGCCACACTAACGGCCTCCCCCAGGCCCACACTAATGGCCTCCCCCAGGCCACACTAACGGCCTCCCCCAGGCCACACTAACGGCCTCCCAAAGGCCACACTAACGGCCTCCCCAAGGCCACACTAACGGCCTCCCCCAGGCCACACTAACGGCCTCCCCCAGGCCACACTAACGGCCTCCCCCAGGTCACACCAGCGGCCTCCCCAGGCCACACCAGCGGCCTCCCCCCTGGCCACACCAGCGGCCTCCCCCCAGGCCACACCAGCGGCCTCCCCCAGGCCACACCAGCGGCCTCCCCCCAGGCCACACCAGCGGCCTCCCCCAGGCCACACTAAGGGCCTCCTCCAGGCCACACTAACGGCCTCCCCCAGGCCACACTAACGGCCTCCCCCAGGCCACACTAACGGCCTCCCCCAGGCCACACCCGCGGCCTCCCCCAGGCCACACTAACGGCCTCCCCCAGGCCACACTAACGGCCTCCCCCAGGCCACACCAGCGGCCTCCCCCAGGCCACACCAGCGGCCTCCCACAGGCCACACCAGCGGCCTCCCCCAGGCCACACCGGCGGCCTCCCCCCAGGCCACACCGGCGGCCTCCCCCAGGCCACACCCGCGGCCTCCCCCAGGCCACACCAGCGGCCTCCCCCAGGCCACACCAGCGGCCTCCCCCCAGGCCACACCAGCGGCATCCCCCAGGCCACACCAGCGGCCTCCCCCAGGCCACACCAGCGGCCTCCCCCAGGCCACACTAACGGCCTCCCCCAGGCCACACCAGCGGCCTCAGGCCCCAGGCCACACCAGGCGGCCTAACGGCCCCCCAGGCCACACCAGCGGCCTCCCCCAGGCCACACCAGCGGCCTCCCCCAGGCCACACCAGCGGCCTCCCCCAGGCCACACCAGCGGCCTCAGGCCCCCAGGCCACACCAGCGGCCTCCCCCAGGCCACACCAGCGGCCTCCCCCAGGCCACACCAGCGGCCTCCCCCAGGCCACACCAACGGCCTCCCCCAGGCCACACTAACGGCCTCCCCCAGGCCACACCAGCGGCCTCCCCCAGGCCACACCAGCGGCCTCACCCCAGGCCACACCAGCGGCCTCACCCCAGGCCACACCAGTGGCCTCCCCCAGGCCACACCAGCGGCCTCCCCCCAGGCCACACCAGCGGCCTCCCCCAGGCCACACCAACGGCCTCCCCCAGGCCACACCAGCGGCCTCCCCCCAGGCCACACCAGCGGCCTCCCCCAGGCCACACCAGCGGCCTCACCCCAGGCCACACCAGTGGCCTCCCCCAGGCCACACCAACGGCCTCCCCCCAGGCCACACCAACGACCTCCCCCAGGCCACACTAACGGCCTCCCCCAGGCCACACTAACGGCCTCCCCCAGGCCACACTAACGGCCTCCCCCCGGCCACACTAACGGCCTCCCCCAGGCCACACCAGCGGCCTCCCCCAGGCCACACCAGCGGCCTCCCCCAGGCCACACCTTCGGCCTCACCCCAGGCCACACCAGTGGCCTCCCCCAGGCCACACCAGCGGCCTCCCCCAGGCCACACCAGCGGCCTCCCCCAGGCCACACCAGCGGCCTCCCCCAGGCCACACCAGCGGCCTCCCCCAGGCCACACCAGCGGCCTCCCCCAGGCCACACCAGGGGCCTCCCACTGGACACACCAGCGGCCTCCCCCAGGCCACACCAGGGGCCTCCCCCAGGCCACACCAGCGGCCTCCCCCAGGCCACACCAGCGGCCTCCCCCAGGCCACACCAACGGCCTCCCCCAGGCCACACGGCCTCCCCCAGGCCACACCAGCGGCCTCCCCCAGGCCACACCAGCGGCCTCCCTCAGGCCACAAGCGGCCTCCCCCAGGCCACACCAGCGGCCTCCCCCAGGCCACACCAGCGGCCTCCCCCAGGCCACACTAACGGCCTCCCCCAGGCCACACCAACGACACCCCCCCAGGCCACACCCGCCCAAGTGCCGCCCAGTTGGGTGGGTGTGGAGCAGGATTAGTAACTGTGTAAACTGACTCACCGTAGATGTAAACTGCCTTGTATAGAGGCGCTTGTGGGCCACTTCTTCAATCACTTCTGACATAACAATAAAAGACTCTTGATATGTTTATTAAAATTATGTCGCTATCTTCACAAGGTTGTTAGTAGTTCAGATATATTTACTGTGAGGTTCCGTTCCTGAACCTATTATGTGCCTCAATAACCCTTACCACCACCACCCTCGGGATAGGTCTGGGGTCCACCACCGCCCTCGGGATAGGTATGGGGTCCACCACCGCCCTCGGGATAGGTATGGGGTCCACCACCGCCCACGGGATAGGTATGGGGTCCACCACCGCCCTCGGGATAGGTATGGGGTCCACCACCGCCCTCGGGATAGGTATCCACCACCGCCCTCGGGATAGGCATGGGGTCCACCACCGCCCGCGGGATAGGCATGGGGTCCACCACCGGGGTCCACCACCGCCCTCGGGATAGGTATGGGGTCCACCACCGCCCTCGGGATAGGTATGGGGTCCACCACCGCCCTCGGGATAGGTATGGGGTCCACCACCGCCCTCGGGATAGGTATGGGGTGCATAATACATGAATAAAATACAAGAAATTCGTGAGGTCGTCAGTCTTTCTCCAGCTGTACCCAGGCCCACCTGATGACCCAGGCCCACCTGATGACCCAGGCCCACCTGATGACCCAGGCCCACCTGATGACCCAGGCCCACCTGATGACCCAGGCCCACCTGATGACCCAGGCCCACCTGATGACCCAGGCCCACCTGATGACCCAGGCCCACCTGATGACCCAGGCCCACCTGATGACCCAGGCCCACCTGATGACCCAGGCCCACCTGATGACCCAGCCCACCTGATGACCCAGGCCACCTGATGACCCAGGCCCACCTGATGACCCAGGCCCACCTGATGACCCAGGCCCACCTGATGACCCCAGGCCCACCTGATGAACCCAGGCCCACCTGATGACCCAGGCCCACCTGATGACCCAGCCCCACCTGATGACCCCAGGCCCACCTGATGACCCAGGCCCACCTGATGACCCAGGCCCACCTGATGACCCAGGCCCACCTGATGACCCAGGCCCACCTGATGACCCAGGCCCACCTGATGACCCAGGCCCACCTGATGACCCAGGCCCACCTGATGACCCAGGCCCACCTGATGACCCAGGCCCACCTGATGACCCAGGCCCACCTGATGACCCACCCAGGCCCACACCTGATGACCCAGGCCCACCTGATGACCCAGGCCCACCTGATGACCCAGGCCCACCTGATGACCCAGGCCCACCTGATGACCCAGACCCCACCTGATGACCCAGGCCCACTGATGACCCAGGCCCATGACCCAGGCCCACCTGATGACCCAGGCCCACCTGATGACCCAGGCCCACCTGATGACCCAGGCCCACCTGATGACCCAGGCCCACCTGATGACCTCTTGCTGTGTTACATAGGCCTATGGGCTGACACCAGGTGTTGAACTCTGGGTGTGTGATATAGGCCTATTGGTCTACACGTGCAGGTGTACAAAGTGGGATAGAAACGTCTTCCTGCGTGACGGGAGAGTGAAGGGGGTGACGGGAGAGTGAAGGGGGTGACGGGAGAGTGAAGGGGGTGACGGGAGAGTGAAGGGGGGTGACGGGAGAGTGAAGGGGGTGACGGGAGAGTGAAGGGGGGTGACGGTAGAGTGAAGGGGGGGTGACGGTAGAGTGAAGGGGGGTGACGGTAGAGTGAAGGGGGGTGACGGTAGAGTGAAGGGGGGTGACGGTAGAGTGAAGGGGGGGACGGGTGCGGTGTAGAGGGGGGTGACGGTAGAGTGAAGGGGGGTGACGGTAGAGTGAAGGGGGGTGGGGTGACGGTAGAGTGAAGGGGGGGTGACGGTAGAGTGAAGGGGGTGACGGTAGAGTGAAGGGGGTGACGGGAGAGTGAAGGGGGTGACGGGAGAGTGAAGGGGGTGACGGGAGAGTGAAGGGGTGACGGGAGAGTGAAGGGGGTGACGGGAGAGTGAAGGGGGTGACGGGAGAGTGAAGGGGGTGACGGGAGAGTGAAGGGGGTGACGGGAGAGTGAAGGGGGTGACGGAGAGAGTGAAGGGGGTGACGGGAGAGTGAAGGGGGTGACGGGAGAGTGAAGGGGGGGGTGACGGTTAGAGTGAAGGGGGTGGAAGGGAGAGTGAAGGGGGTGACGGGAGAGTGAGGGAGTGGGGGTGACGGGAGTGAGAGTGAAGTGAAGGGGGGTGACGGGAGAGTGAAGGGGGGTGACGGGAGAGTGAAGGGGGTGACGGGAGAGTGAGGGGGGGGTGACGGGGTGAGTGAAGGGGGTGACGGGAGAGTGAAGGGGGTGACGGGGAGAGTGAACGGGGGAGAGTGAAGGGGGTGACGGGAGAGTGAAGGGGGTGACGGGAGAGTGGGGTGACGGGAGAGTGAAGGGGGTGACGGGACGGGAGTGAGGGGGGTGACGGGAGAGTGAAGGGGGGTGACGGGAGAGTGAAGGGGGGACGGGAGAGTGAAGGGGGTGACGGGAGAGTGAAGGGGGTGACGGGAGAGTGAAGGGGGGTGACGGGAGAGTGAAGGGGGTGACGGGAGAGTGAAGGGGGTGACGGGAGAGTGAAGGGGGTGACGGGAGAGTGAAGGGGGGTGACGGAGGGTGAAGGGGGGTGACGGTAGAGTGAAGGGGGGTGACGGTAGAGTGAAGGGGGGTGACGGTTAGAGTGAAGGGGGGTGACGGGAGAGTGAAGGGGGTGGGGAGAGTGAAGGGGGTGACGGGAGAGTGAAAGGGGTGATGGGAGAGTGAAGGGGGGTGACGGGAGGAAAGGGGTGAGGGAGAGTGAAAGGGGTGATGGGAGAGTGAAGGGGGGTGACGGGAGAGTGAAGGGGGTGACGGGAGAGTGAAGGGGTGACGGGAGAGTGAAGGGGGTGACGGGGAGAGTGAAGTGGGTGACGGGAGAGTGAAGGGGGTGACGGGAGAGTGAAAGGGGTGACGGGAGAGTGAAGGGGGGTGACGGGAGAGTGAAGGGGGTGACGGGAGAGTGAAGGGGGGGTGACGGGAGAGTGAAGGGGGTGACGGGAGAGTGAAGGGGGTGACGGGAGAGTGAAGGGGGGTGACGGGAGAGTGAAGGGGGGTGACGGGAGAGTGAAGGGGGTGACGGGAGAGTTAAGGGGGGGTGACGGGAGAGTGAAGGGGGTGACGGGAGAGTGAAGGGGGTGACGGGAGAGTGAAGGGGGTGACGGGAGAGTGAAGGGGGGGTGACGGGAGAGTGAAGGGGGTGACGGGAGAGTGAAGGGGGTGGTGACGGGAGAGTGAAGGGGGGTGACGGGAGAGTGAAGGGGGTGACGGGAGAGTGAAGGGGGTGACGGGAGAGTGAAGGGGGTGACGGGAGAGTGAAGGGGGTGACGGGAGAGTGAAGGGGGGTGACGGGAGAGTGAAGGGGGTGACGGGAGAGTGAAGGGGGTGACGGGAGAGTGAAGGGGGTGACGGGAGAGTGAAGGGGGTGACGGGAGAGTGGGGGGTGACGGGAGAGTGAAGGGGGTGACGGGAGAGTGAAGTGGGTGACGGGAGAGTGAAGTGGGTGACGGGAGAGTGAAGTGGGTGACGGGAGAGTGAAGGGGGGTGACGGGAGAGTGAAGGGGGTGACGGGAGAGTGAAGGGGTGATGGGAAGGAAGCACAGGCGACCTCCCTCGACCTCGAGCCTGAGAAAGTGTTCCCAACCCACTCTCCTCTCCCACTCCCTCTTCCAGCGTCCTTGTCTCAGCTTCCTGTGTCCTTGTTGTCCTTGTCTCAGCTGCTTCCTGTGTCCTTGTTGTCCTTGTCTCAGCTTCCTGTGTCCTTGTTGTCCTTGTCTCAGCTGCTTCCTGTGTCCTTGTTGTCCTTGTCTCAGCTTCCTGTGTCCTTGTTGTCCTTGTCTCAGCTTCCTGTGTCCTTGTTGTCCTTGTCTCAGCTTCCTGTGTCCTTGTTGTCCTTGTCTCAGCTTCCTGTGTCCTGGTTGTCCTTGTCTCAGCTTCCTGTGTCCTTGTTGTCCTTGTCTCAGCTTCCTGTGTCCTTGTTGTCCTTGTCTCAGCTGCGTCTTGTTGTCCTTGTCTTGTTCCTGTCCTTGTCTCAGCTGCTTCCTGTGTCCTTGTTGTCCTTGTCTCAGCTGCTTCCTGTGTCCTTGTTGTCCTTGTCTCAGCTTCCTGTGTCCTTGTTGTCCTTGTCTCAGCTTCCTGTGTCCTGGTTGTCCTTGTCTCAGCTTCCTGTGTCCTTGTTGTCCTTGTCTCAGCTTCCTGTGTCCTTGTTGTCCTTGTCTCAGCTGCGTCTTGTGTCCTTGTTGTCCTTGTCTCAGCTGCTTCCTGTGTCCTTGTTGTCCTTGTCTCAGCTGCTTCCTGTGTCCTTGTTGTCCTTGTCTCAGCTTCCTGTGTCCTTGTTGTCCTTGTCTCAGCTTCCTGTGTCCTTGTTGTCCTTGTCTCAGCTGCGTCTTGTGTCCTTGTTGTCCTTGTCTCAGCTGCTTCCTGTGTCCTTGTTTTCCTTGTCTCAGCTGCTTCCTGTGTCCTTGTTGTCCTTGTCTCAGCTTCCTGTGTCCTTGTTGTCCTTGTCTCAGCTTCCTGTGTCCTTGTTGTCCTTGTCTCAGCTTCCTGTGTTCTTGTTGTCCTTGTCTCAGCTGCTTCCTGTGTCCTTGTTGTCCTTGTCTCAGCTGCTTCCTGTGTCCTTGTTGTCCTTGTCTCAGCTTCCTGTGTCCTTGTTGTCCTTGTCTCAGCTTCCTGTGTCCTTGTTGTCCTTGTCTCAGCTTCCTGTGTCCTTGTTGTCCTTGTCTCAGCTTCCTGTGTCCTTGTTGTCCTTGTCTCAGCTTCCTGTGTCCTTGTTGTCCTTGTCTCAGCTTCCTGTGTCCTTGTTGTCCTTGTCTCAGCTGCGTCCTGTGTCCTTGTTGTCCTTGTCTCAGCTTCCTGTGTTCTTGTTGTCCTTGTCTCAGCTTCCTGTGTCCTTGTTGTCCTTGTCTCAGCTTCCTGTGTCCTTGTTGTCCTTGTCTCAGCTTCCTGTGTCCTTGTTGTCCTTGTCTCAGCTTCCTGTGTCCTTGTTGTCCTTGTCTCAGCTTCCTGTGTCCTTGTTGTCCTTGTCTCAGCTTCCTGTGTTCTTGTTGTCCTTGTCTCAGCTTCCTGTGTCCTTGTTGTCCTTGTCTCAGCTTCCTGTGTTCTTGTTGTCCTTGTCTCAGCTTCCTGTGTTCTTGTTGTCCTTGTCTCAGCTTCCTGTGTCCTCGTTTGCCAGCATCCAGTACTCCTACACGCAGTACTCTTTATATAGCATCCATAACTCTTTTAGTGTGCAGTACTCCAGCACCCATCACCCCAGCACCCATCACCCCAGCACCCATCACCCCAGCACCCATCACCCCAGCACCCATCACCCCAGCACCCATCACCCCAGCACCCAGCACCCCAGCACCCATCACCCCAGCACCCATCACCCCAGCACCCATCACACCAGCACCCATCACCCCAGCACCCATCACCCCAGCACCCATCACACCAGCACCCATCACACCAGCACCCATCACCCCAGCACCCATCACCCCAGCACCCATCACCCCAGCACCCAGCACCCAGCACCCATCCCCCAGCACCCATCACCCCAGCACCCATCACCCCAGCACCCATCACCCCAGCACCCATCACCCCAGCACCCATCACCCCAGCACCCATCACACCAGCACCCAGCACCCATCACCCCAGCACCTTGCGGTGACTGCGGGAACCATACGTGGTGCTCGTGTCTTTCAACCGGACTTAAATGCCCCATGGTAATTTATGCCGCCCAGGGGGCTGTGTTGTCTTATCTCTCAGTGGCGGGCATCCACTGCCCCAACGCCCACTGCCCCAACACCCACTGCCACAACGCCCACCGTCTCCCACTGCTCTCCGGCCCCTAAATAGGAGACCGGTGGTGGTATGGCCGCCCTTGGGGGCTACACCTGTAATATACGGGGCCGCTGCCCAACATAGTGCTGGAGCCGCCGCCTCCTCCTGCCTCTCCCACAGCACTCCATCCCGCTGACCCAATAAGGTCCTCTCATCTGGATCCCGCCTCCCCCCTCGCCCCGCTCACGGGCGTGGGAGCCAGCGTGGGCGTGGGCGGGGAGCTAGAGTGGGCGTGGGCGGGGAACCCACCGCCAACCCTGTACCCGGCCCTACGAGGTCCCCGCCCTCCTTACCTGCCTTGTGCTGCTGCTGTTGGAGATAGCCAGCCCGTCCCCCATCCCCCTCATGCCAGCACCACCACCCCAACACTATACTCTAGCCCCGCCCCTATGATACATTCCTACCCCGCCCACACACTCCACCCTTGCCCCGCCCACACACTCCACACTTGCCCCGCCCACCCACTCCACCCTTGCCCCGCCCACACACTCCACCCTTGCACCGCCCACCCACTCCACCGCTATCACGCCTATAGCAGTGGGTCATTGAGTTTACTGTTAACAAATGTAGTTTGGGGAACATTCAAGCTTTCCCCTTCCTTTCTCCAAGCCAACATGATGTTGACGCCTATGCCAACCATGCTCTTACAGACAACTCCAGTTGGAAGCGTGTGTTTGAGAGAGTACAGCAGGTCCTAGTCAGTACTGGATAGTAGTAGTAGTAGTAGTAGTAGTAGTAGGCGTCCTTCAGTCTCGGAAGACTATGGAGTTGCACCCTGGTTGTCAATCCTGGTGCAGCGTCTGGTGTGACTGATGAGGCCAATCCCAGAGTGGCAGTCCATCCCACGCTGAGCACAAACGAAGCTTCCTTCTCTGTCTCTTTGCCTCCGATTTCTTGGCAAGTGACACCTCAAACTTAGAGAGACTTCTTTGAACAGACTGCCCCCAGGCTGAACAGTCTGCGGCCAGTGTTTCACACGTAGCAAGATCGACGTCCATGGCTTTCAGGACCCTCTTGCATACGTCTTTGTACCGTAGCTGGGGCTTGCCTGTTGAACGCTGTCCCTGCGTCAGCTTTCCATACAGGAGATCCTTGGGGATCCTGCCGTCGCCCATTCGCACAACGTGCCCGAGCCAGCGCATTCGTCTCTGTTTTAGCATTGTGTACATGCTGGTGATTCTTGCTCTCCTCAGGACGTTGTTGTTTGTCACCTTGTCCTGCCAGGTGATGTCCAAGATGTGTCGAAGGCAGCGCATGTGGTAGGCGTTCAGCTGTCTTTCCCGACGGGCGCGGAGTGTCCAAGACTCACTGCCATAAAGGAGAGTGCTCAGGACACAGGCTCTGTAAACCTGAATCTTTGTATACTCAGTCAGCCTGTTGTTGGTCCACACTCTTTTTGTCAGTCTGGACATGGTAGTAGATGCCTTACTGATGCGTTTGTTTAGCTCCGTATCAAGAGAGAGGGAGTCAGAGATTGTGGAGCCCAGGTACACGAAGTCGTGAACGACTTCCAGTTTGGAATAGGAGATGCCGATGTCAGGTGGGGAGTCCACTCCTTGTCCCATGACTTGTGTTTTCTTCAGGCTGATGGTGAGTCCGAAAGCCTGACAGGCCTCGCTGAAGCAGGTCATGAGCCGTTGGAGGTCTTCGGCTGAGTGGGCAGTGACTGCTGCGTCGTCGGCAAAGAGGGAAGTCGCACACACATCTCAGCCGAACCTTCGTCTTGGCTCTCAGCCTGGTGAGAGCTTTCCATCCGACCTGGTCCGGAGGTAGATACCTTCCGTAGCAGATCCGAAGACGTGCTGCAGCATAACTGTAAAGAAAATCCCGAATAGGGTTGGAGCCAGTACGCATCCCTGCTTTACTCCACTTCGGATGTCAAAGGCGTTTGATGTTAGGCCATCAAAGACCACGGTGCCCTTCATGTTCTCGTGGAAAGATCTGATGATGCTGAGGAGCCTGGGTGGGCATCCGATCTTGGGGAGGATCTTGAACAGCCCATCCCTACTGGCGAGGTCGAAGGCCTTCGTCAGATCTATGAAGGCTACGAAGAGTGGCTGCTTCTGTTCCCTGCATTTCTCCTGCAGTTGTCTGAGGGAAAAGACCATGTCGAAGGTGGACCTGTTATTTCTGAATCCGCATTGTGATTCTGGATAGACTCTCTCTGCAAGTACTTGGAGCCTTTTCAATGTGACTCGAGCAAACAGCTTTCCGACAATACTGAGGAGGGAGATTCGACGGTAATTGTTGCAGTCGCCCCTGTCACCTTTATTCTTATACAGCGTGACGATGATGGCGTCCGTCATGTCCTGTGGCACCTCTCCTTCTTCCCAGCAGAGGCAAAGAATTTCATGCAGCTCCTTGAGCAGGCTACCTCTGCAGCTCTTCAAGGTCTCAGCAGGAATGCCATCTTTTCCATGAGCTTTGCCAGAAGCAAGGGAGTCTAGGTCTCGCTGAGTTCTTCCAGGGTCGGTTCGCTGTCGAGCTCCATTAACACAGGCAGACACTCAATGGTGCTCAGGGCGTCTTCGGTGGCCACATTCTCCCTGGCGTAGAGCTCAGTACTGGATACTCTCATGGATATGTCAGAGAGATCATTAAAAAGAAGGTGAGCCACTACGCTACCTCTGACGAAACGCCCAACGATACATTACCGGTCCTTCCTATTACAATATTCTACAGAAACTTCTTTTCTACGACTCACAAAATGTAGACAAGAGTCCTGCAAGACATTATGGATAGAAACGCGATTCCTACTCTCACTAACCATCAGATTGTGTTATTAATATATTATAAGAAGAAGAAGACCGTCAGCTTTTTTCGCGAAGAACTCTTCCGACACCAAACGAAATGCCTTGAAAGAGAAAAATGCCTTCACACGCCCACTTGGGGACTGTCAGCCCCAACTATCCCAGTACATAGGCTCTTAGTACATAGCTCATAGTACATAGGACAACGAGAGGTCTTTCAAGGCGCCTGGCAGTGTACAGACATCAGGGAAGATACGGTCTCTACACACAACCAGATCATCACCAGAGATATCCTGAGAAGCAACACTAATATAATCGACAGATACAACGACGATAGAAGATTGGGCATCGGTGAGGCGCTACGCACCATGCCAACCTAAGCAGAGGTGCAACAGGTACTCTGGGAGAGAACTATCAACATCAGAGGCCCGAGACTGTTCAACACGCTTCTACTACACATAAGGGGCATAACTGGCCGACCCCTCAGTGTTCAAGAGAGAACTGAATAAGCACCTTCAAAGGATACCTGATCAACCAGGCTGTGATTCGTACGTCAGGCTGAGAGCAGCGGCATCCAACACCCTGGTTGACCAGTCCAGCAACGAGGAGGCCTGGTCGACGACCGGGCCGCGGGGACGCTAAGCCCCGGAAGCACCTCAAGGTAACCTCAAGGTAACCTGAAGGTAAGGTAGCCATCAAGAGGCAACTCACACCTTGTTACACTCACCCATCATCCAGACCAAGACGGAGCAGCCAACCGACCGCCCCAACCATCGCTGAAACACAGGCGACCGTAAGCGACAGCGTCCCATTGGTCGTAGTGACAGATTGATTGATTGATAAAGATTAAGCCACCCAAAAGGTGGCACGGGCATGAATAGCCCGTAAGTGGTGGGCCTTTTGAGCCATTACCAGTATCAAGAGCTGATACTGGAGATCTGTGGAGGTGCGACTGCACCCTGCGTGACGGGAGATGTCTCCCGTCTCGTAGTGACACCGCCAGTCTCTGTTATATATTCGGCTGCTCCAGCTAAATTGTTTCCATTTGTACTCTCCCTTTACGGGCTATTCATGCCCGTGCCACCTCGTGGGAGGCATGAGCTTCATCAATCCCTCTGCCTTTGAGAATGATGACAGGGACCAAGGAAACGCATCTCTTAGCGTCAGACCGCAGTAAAACTGTAAACTGATTTTTGGAGAGTTAACTTTAAAATTCTTTCTCAAGTGAAAAGAACATAAGGAATATAGAGGAAATTCGTGCTAGAAAAATTTATTTCAACCTCTCTGTCTCCAGAGTTGTCAAATGCCGCGCCGGAGACTGCACTCTCCAACATAACCTGCAATGGCATAATACTAACACTGAGTAAGTGTCCCGCACTTCATTTACAAAAAAGGTATGAAACAACCTCACTCAGTAATCCACAACACCATCCTGAACAGTGAGGACGGAGTACAAGGCGCCACTATCAACCCTCGGCCCTCACACACCGATGGAGACTACGACATTTCAGCACCTTCGTGTTCCCAGTACTGTGTGAATATCACTGTAACCATCTTTGCTACACACTGTCTTCATCACTACAGCCATCTAGACTTTTTGCCCGAAAAACGCTATGCGTACTAGTGGCTTTAAGTATTGTATGTACTATCTCTATCTTTAAATCTATCATTATGTATTTAACTCAATGGATGTACCTTTACATAAATAATCTGACTCTACACTACACGCGACCTGCATCAATGTAACCATCCACACAACCCCCCCCCCCCGGCACCCCCCCCCCCCAGTAACCCTGCAACAGTTTAATGAGTCATATCTCACCAAACTTTGCAGGATGACTGTTGCATAGGTTTACATTATTACTTACATTATTAACCTGCTCCATTCGCCCCCCAAAAATCTAAATATCAGTCGCCAAAATTCCTCCTCGGCACATCTAGATCTTTGGCATCCACTGAATTCATTTTATTTTTGGGTTGGTAAGGTACTCTTTTGGTGGGTGGGGTGAGGGGCACCCAGCTCGCAGATCCTCCGGTGATGAATTTTATTCATGTATGCAGAAACGTTCACAAAACCCCCCAAAATAAAGCCAGGTTCAACTGAGCTACCCCAGCACACCTGGTAGTCTTGTTGTGCCAGGTGAGATATGTCCACCTGTAGGTGATGGCTGCCCCAGCACACCTGGTAGCCTTGTTGTGCCAGGTGATATGCTCCACCTGTAGGTGATGGCTGCCCCAGCACACCTGGTAGCCTTGTTGTGCCAGGTGAGATATGTCCACCTGTAGGTGATGGCTGCCCCAGCACACCTGGTAGCCTTGTTGTGCCAGGTGAGATATGTCCACCTGTAGGTGATGGCTGCCCCAGCACACCTGGTAGCCTTGTTGTGCCAGGTGAGATATGTCCACCTGTAGGTGATGGCTGCCCCAGCACACCTGGTAGCCTTGTTGTGCCAGGTGAGATATGTCCACCTGTAGGTGATGGCTGCCCCAGCACATCTCTGATGGCCAGCACATCTATCATATCAACACATTGACCAGACCACACACTAGAAAATGAAGGGACGACGACGTTTCGGTCCGTCCTGGACCATTCTCAAGCCGATTGTGACAAGTCAATCTTGTTACAATCAGATTGTGATTCAAGTCACAATCGACTTGAAAATGGTCCAGGACGGACCGAAACGTCGTCGTCCCTTCATTTTCTAGTGTGTGGTCTGGTCAACATACTTCAGTCACGTTATTGTGACTCATCGCCTGTATATCAACACAATTTCTTGTCTTGGCACATCTCTGGTCACCCCATCATTAGGGGCGAATGGGTGGAAAGAGTGTATTGGGGTCTGGTCGGGGTTGGCGGAGAAGGTCATTTTGATGTGGGTGGAGTAGGTTATTAAGGTGTAGGCGGGAGTGGGTTGAATGGGTCATTAGTGTTTGGATAGGATGAATGGGTCACTAAGGTGTTGGCTGGTGAGGGGGGGGGGGGGTGGAGTGGCACATGGTTCAATGGGTGGGTGTTGGTGGAGTGGACCATGAAGATGAGGGCGGGTGTGGGCGGCCAAGGTGAGAGAGCAGGGCGGTGAAAGGACGCGGGGCACCGCATTTGGTGGGTGAGGTACAGGTGGAGCAGGAGGCGTGGGCGGCCTCTCTCACACACACACTGGGTCATCACAGGTCACACACACACACACACACACACACACACACACACACACACACACACACACACACACACACACACACACACACAC